ATTTTGTTGAATGGCTTCAAGCCATAAAATGTAAGATAGATTCCATGTACTAGAACCAAGTATGGTCTCTGATGGATCCACCTGAAGGGGTAAAACACATAGGGTGTAAATGGGTCTTCAAGAAGAAGACTGACATGGATGGCAAGGTGCATACTTATAAGGCATGACTAGTTGCCAAAGGTTTCAAACGAATTCATGGCATTGACTATGAAGAAACCTGTCCGTCAGTTGCCATGATTAAGTCTATCTGGATTATGCTTACAATTGCTACATATCACAACTATGAGATTTGGCAGATGGATGTCAAAACAACTTGCCTGAATGGAAACCTTGAAGAGATTTGTATATGACACAACCAAATGGTTTCGTTCTTGATGGACAAGGTGACAAGATATGCAAGTTGTAGAGGTCCATTCATGGACTCAAGCAAGCTTCAAAGAGCTAGAACATTCGTTTTGGTGAAGCCATAAATGAATTTGGTTTTATCAAGAATGAAGATGAGCCTTGTGTTTACAAGAAAGTAAGTGGGAGCATAGTGGCACTCTTGGTATTGTATGTCAATGACATACTTCTTATCAAGAATGATATACTGAACTTGTAGTCGGTAAAGACTTTGTTATCCAAGTGCTTCTCCTTGAAGGACTTAAGAAAAGCAACCTACATCCTCAGAATAAAGATCTACCATGATAGATCACATGGGTTGCTTGGCCTAAGTCAGAGTACGTAGATAGACAAGATACTAAAGAGATTCAATAAGGAAGAATCCAGGGAGGAATTTCTTCAAATGTCACATGGTGTCTATCTCTCCAAGGATATGTGTCCTAAAACACATGATGAGAGAGATAGAATGAAGAGGATCCGATATGCATCAGCAATTGGATCCATCATGTATGCCATGTTGTGTACTCGGATTGATGTCTCATACGCATTAAGCACTTGAAGTAGATATCAATCGAATCCAAGTGAGCATCACTAGATGGCAGTCAAGAGCATCTTTAAATACCTAAAAAGGACTAAAGACAAGGATGATTATCGATCATAGTCGGGATTTGTATTTTGTCTCAACGGAGTTGTAGTGAGCTGGAAAAACTCGAAGCAAAGTACTGTAGCGGATTCTACAATTGATGCTTAGTATGTCACATTATCTAATGCATCCATAGAGATGGTTTGGATCAAGAAGTTCATTACTGAACTTGATGTGGTTCAAGCATTACTGATCTAGTAAAGATCTACTATGACAATAATGGAGCCATTGTTATGGCTGAGGAACCACGGTCTCACCAGTGATCTAAAACACATACTTAGTTGATTCAATCTTATCTAAGAAATCGATCAGAGAGGGCATGTACAGATTTGCAAAATACCTACTAACCCACTGTTGAAGTTTTTGTTGTAGGAGAAGCATGATAAGCACTTAGCGTCATTTGGTATTAAATACATGAACAATTGGCTATAATGTAAGTGGGAGATTGTTAGAGTAGGTGCCATAGAGCCAATCAATTATGGTAGTATTGACTCTTTGCAATCGTGTTTTATTATCAATAAAGGCATTTATCTATATCATGTGATTTGATTATATTCATATAAGAAAATGATATATGTCCTTAGGATAGTAGAACCGTGACGAGGGTATCGAGTGCTTGAAATCTCGATAGTGACAACCATATGAGCACATATGGTGGCCATTCTAGAAATGTCCATAGCCCTAGTATTATCCTAACCAAGGGCACAGATAATACGGTAAGGCTATCATAGTGTTGGACGACCCTGTTGAAAGGCAGTGATAGATCTCACTTGTTAAGACGCCTTGTGCACCGATTGGTGTAATTTGACACTAGCCCAACGTAGTCCTCTCAAGACTATTAGAACGATAGTGGTTAGCTGCATTGAAAAGTGTATCAAGACTATGGTGGATCGACAAAGAATTCATCACTCCCAAGTATAGGAGAAATTATCTCACTAAGTAATTCGGTAGATGGCAACGGCATTAAATTTGTGGGCACAGTGGGATTGAGTTGTAGTTCAATCCAATCTATTCTGATCATTGGTCAATAACCGAATACTGAGATATCACAGATATCTGAGGTTGACACTACTTCTATGTCTTGGCCTTAATGAGATAATAGATGATCAAAGGATTGAATTGCACGATAACCATATCATTGATAGGTAGCAGTTTCGCTGAATCCCAATCTATCGAGTGGTCATGATACTTGGCTAGAGGCCAATCTTGGTTTGTGTCTAGTTGAACGACTGATTGATTGTCAATTGTGATACTATTCACTACCGATATGATAAGGAGCCTTCGGGTTGAACACATAGAAGACAAATTAAGAATAAAAATCATGAGAGAGGTATTTTCATCATTTATGATGAAAGGGCATTTTCGTCTTTTAAGATGAAAGGGCCTTTCGGTAATGTCACAATATAATTAAATTTACTAAGGTTGTTGCCTAAATCTAATTTCATCTGGAAATTAAATTAGTGAGATTATATATATTTAAATATTTAGTTTATAAACATACATATATAATGGATATTATCCAATGTTAGTATTTATTATTAATTTTGATAATGTGAAATTCAAATTTGTTTTTTAAATTTGAATTGAAATGCCATGTTTGGTTGCAAGAGGAATCTAATTGGAATAGATGGCTATTCCAATTTGGAATAGGGTTTTAGTGTGCACTATTTAAGTGCAACTAAAGTTAATTCATTAAGATGAATTAAAAAATTGAAAAATTAAAAGAAACCCTAGCCTCCTCTCTATCTCTCTAAACTGTGAGCCTCCATTGGTGAGAGAAGAATTTTTCTCTCCAAGAAAAATTCTGCAGAATTTTATTCCCATAGTTGAGTGAATTACCTAGCCTAATAATTCCTCAACGATGTTTGCCCCATCTTCGTGTGGATATTGGGAGTTCATTCCTAACCTGGGGTGGGAGCGAATCACATCAATCGGAGGAGCCTCCAAATGTTGGTATGACATTAAACTTAGTTTAAATATTTTCTTGTATTAAATTGATGTAGATCTGTAATTGGATCATTGCTTTTATGGTTTTTGTGATTGAAAAGTTTTATATTTTCGCTTCATAAACAATCCAAAAACCAACAGTATCATAGTTGCCCAGATGCACGTTCCTCTAAGCACGACAATGTTATGTGCAATTATGCATGCTTCTATCCAAAATGGAGCCAAGTCACTCACACCAGCATGCCCGCTCCATCCAAGTTAGAAGTCAAAGTTCTCAGAATTCAAACACTTGGCGCCTTTAAGTAATCTTGGAAGACAATCCTTGAAGATCAAGTTGAAGTTCAAGTACGAAAAGTGGAACAACCGTTCTCCGTTTTGGAATGACCATTCACACTCAAAGATTGTTTATGGTTGAACGTCAATGTTCTAAGAAGTCATACATGCTTCCAAAAATTTTATAGATTTTGAAGGAGCCATTGGTTTGATTGTTCCTCATGGTTGAACGAACGTTTGCAGTGGTGGTACGACCATTCATCATAATAGAACGATCATACCAGAAACCCTAAAACTGTATGAATTGACCGTTGGTGTCAAAAACAATAGTTTGTGCTAATGGCATGACCATTCATCTATCTGCAGGCTTTTCAGACATGCATTTATGCAGCACTGCTCTTTGCAACCAAGGGAGAAATCAAGCTTAAATAGGCCCCTTCATTGCTTAGAAAGTTAGAGAGAATATTAGAGGTTCAAATCATATTAAAACATTCTCACATAATCCCTTGAGCAAAAAATCCTTATCAAAAGTAACACTTTCTTGTACTCATTTGTAAACCCTTGAGAGTATTGTTCTTATTGTGTGTTTAAGCCTAAGTTAAGAGGCAATCTTTCTCACACCTTTTATCAAACACTTTATGGATGAAATCTTGTAAATCTAGAGGCAAAATCCTATCAAACTATTGTAAGAGGCAAAATCCTGTCAAGCTAGTGTATTTGGTGCAATCCAATTCTAGTGGAACTTCAAAGAGGTTGCCTTGAAGAAATGGAAGTAGGAAGCTTGTGGATAGAGCTCCGAACCGTTATAGATCTCTAAGGATTTCTTCTTTTTCAATTAATTTATTTTTCATTGCATATTTACTTGAAGCATCATTATCCTTCTCATCCATTGCTTAACATTTGTCCATACATTGTTTAACACTATTCATATTTATTGTTTATCTTTTTTGGTGTTGTGTGTCTATAACTTGTTTGGGTTGGTGAAAGTTTTCATTTTGCAAATATTTTTAAAGTATTCTATTCAGCTCCCCCTGTAGGACTATTTTGGGATATAGTGTTTTACAATTAGTGGAACATGTCAATTCTTAGGAAGCATGCTAGTTTCATGGTTTTCAAAGAAACAAAATTCAGCTGCTATTTCAACCACAGAAGCTAACTATGTGTCAGCAGCTACTTGGTGTTCACAACTTCTCTGGATGAAGCAATAACTTGAAGATTTTTGTTGTAAAATGCATAATGTTCCTATTCATTGTACAATACAAGTACTATTAGTCTGTCTAAAAATCTTGTGCATCATTCTAGAACAAAGCATACAGATATAGCATATCCACCTGTTATAGCAATGAGCTGCCTTCCCAAGCATCAATGTTGTAATACTTCCACAGGCTGATAGCAAGCAAGGTATTGTAACATTGTCTGGCTTGATCCCTATTGTCTGCATCTCTCTAAAAAGTTCTAATGCCTCAATACCTTGCCCATTTTGTTAGAAACCAGCAATCATTGACGTCCAAGACACATCATTTAATTCCACTCTTTGGCATTGGAATTGCCTAAAGTCCTCCAATGCATTGTCAACGAGACCATTTCAACAGAGACCCGTAACAAAAGCATTGCAAGCACCTACATGCAAATTTTCCATCTCATGAAACACTTTCGACATATTACATGTAGTCGCACACTTACCATACATATAAATAAGTGAAGTACTGATGCACTTGTTCTCCAACAAACCTTCCTTAATCACAAAACCATGAATCTAAATCCCAAGTTTGTTATCCTCCAAGGCACCCACAGCAGAAAGAACACTAGAAACACTATGCTCTTCGGGTGTAAATCCTTCAAAATGCATCCTTTGAAACAAAATAACCACCTCTTCATAATGTCCACTATGATTAAAGCCTCCAATCATACCGTTCCAAGACAACACACCAGGTTCCACTCTTAAACAAACCATCTCGTTAAAGATTTTTTTCGCAACATCCACACGCTCTTGTCGTGCATAAACCGCAAGCATACCACTAAAAGTAACCACACTCGATTGGGCTAATCTATCCAACACGTTGTGATCGTCCCCAATGTTCTGACATCTAATGTACATATGAATCAAAGAAGATTGAACAAACGAATCTAAATAAAACTTGTGTACAAACACCATTGCATGAACTTGTTTTCTAGTTTACAATGACAACAATCCCGTGCAAGCCCTAAGGATATTAGGCAACAAGTAAGTGTTAGGTGCCAGACCGCGAGAGAGCATTTGAGCGAATACACGGAGTGATTGAGTAAAAAGATTTTGTTTCGAGTAGCCGTAGATAAGAGTAGAGTAAGAAAAGGTTGTCGGCGAAGGCTTGGTGATTTGCATTTTGAGATAGAAGCTTTGTTGTGAGATACGTGTCATTAGAGACGCCGATTTTGAGAATGTGAGCATGCGCTTGCTATGTCTATGATAGAGATTATTTGAGTGAGTTGAGGGTACAAAAGATTGAACGTTGAGTGTTTTCGAAGAGAGGAAGAGCTTGTTTCGACAAGTTCATCATTTGTTACAGCCTTATTTTTCAAGCACAAAATAATAACAATGTATCAGAGGGCTCTGATTCTTTCAAGCAATGGTAAGTTAAAGCTTGCCTCAAAAGACGAAGTATTTTCTAAATGGTACCGCACATTTAAGTTAATTAAATAAATAAAAGAGAATATTTATTTTTAACTATAGATAAATAAATATCTCGTCGACTGTTCCACCGAAGAGAAGTCAAGAGAGCGGAAAATATGCAGAAAGTAAACTGCGCAACTATAATATTATAATCAGTTTTGGTATTGTTTTCCATTCTTAATAATTCATAAATGTAGCATTCAAGTCCAATCGCTATTGTCAACAATGTACGATGGGTTTTGTGCAAGAGTCAACCAGTTGACTTGGACACCTACTATGTTTGTGTTAATTTATATTTTAAATATCATGCACTTTGATATTTGCTCAAATTTACGCCTAAATTATTTTGAGGACAATAATTATGTCAATCCACAGTGGAGTGCAAACAGCAACGCTATAGACACCAGAAAATGGTACTGAAAATCTGCACCGAAATACGTAACACCTGACTCGGACGTCGCTACCTAGGACATGATAGAAGACTTCTATAAATGGATGGTCGTCCATACTTTCTAGATGGCCATTCATTTAGGAATGGACGACAGTCCATAAAACATATATAAAAATAAACTAAAAATCAATGGACGACCGTCCAAATACTAGAGACGAGCATCCCTTTAATATGGACGGCCGTCCAAATAAGCAGATTAGATGGACGTCTGTCCACATTAGATGGATAGGCGTCCCTATTCTTCCACTTCCACTTGTTTATTCTTCAACTCCTCCCTCATATAATCCATAACATAAAAAATAGTGCTGCTACTCACATTTCCATAGTCCATTAAAGCCTTCCAGCTATACTCCATTGTTGTCCAGCACCAAAGAAGAATTAGAACCCATGTTGAACAGCCCGTGAAGCAAAGCCGGATTGTTCTGAAGATAACTGTTGTAAAAATGAGAGCTCTGGCTCGACGAGTGCAAGTTATACGTCGACCCTGTAGATTGCTAGTGCAATTACAGCTGGGTTTGAATGTAACTTTGGTGAAACGAAGGGTCCTGAGTGTACTGAGAAATGTCCTGATTTTGCAAGGATAGTAAAGGCTGAGGACTCTGATCAAATGGTGTTTGCATTAATGGATACGCCTGTAACCTGCTGGAGCTTCCATATTGGAAAGTTGAACCGAGAGCGATCATTTCTTCACGACTTCTTGAAGATTCAAGAGCTTGAGCCTCTTTTAATCGTTTCGCTGCGCCTTCTCCGATCGGTAGAGTGTTGCTTTCGAGTATGGCTTTTACATCGTAACGATTCACGTCAAAATTGGTGACTGCGTTCAAGCCTCTGAACTTTATCGCCGCAATGTCATATGCTTCTGCAGCTTCCTCCTCCGTACCTTAAATTGTTAGAAATAAGTAAATAGTTTCAGTAATTCAATGAGTGCATGGGAATTTAATTACTCACTGAAAGTTCCCAAGTAGAGATCTTTGTTTCCTGCAACTCTTCCAATCCTTGCTTGCCATCTTCCATGCTGGTGATGCCTTGTAACTCCACGATACATGGAAGCACCCCTCGAAAAACCACTACTCTTCCTGTATTTGACCGCCAAAAATGAATTAATAATAAGCTTTTCGGTGACAAAATTGTTAATCATATATAAACACAAAATCGTCCAAATTCAATGATCTGTTTTGGGCAGTCCATCCTGATGGACCAGCAATGCTGAACCGCCTGGAAAACAAATTGAAATGCCTGGAAAACAAATTGAAATTAAACAATGAGAAGTTGGAGTATAGCAGGAAGGCTTTAATGGACTATGAAAATGTGAGTAGCAGCACTATTTTTTATGTTTTGGATTATATGAGGGAGGTGGTAGGAAACGACCAAGTCATGGCAGCGGAAAACAAAAATTATTTACAACATGGATCGTTCCTTAGAACCAAGATCAGGGCACAAATTTACAGTTTATACATTAAATAAGAATCTGCAGAAAATTCAGTCTAGAGTTAAGAAATCATACGCACGTTTGGAGGCTCCTCTAACTTTTCTCTGAACGGGTTTTGCTACCGACCCAAGAGTATGATCGAACCAATATAGTCCACTTGAAAATAACCCCAAGGAACTAAAGAGGGATTTGCTAGATCCTCTTTAGCCTTAAGAACCAAGAACAAAATCAAGCAAAATTTGTTTCAAGTAAGAAAACAATCTGGCGTGGGAAAGGAGGGGGCTGGAGTTTTTGCTTTGTGAATGAAAATGAATTCTATTAATTATTTCACAAAGTGTTGCACTTATATAGTGCACACTATACCCTATTCCATCATGGAATGGGCTTGGGCACCAACCCAAACAATTCCTATGTCCAAACAACCCCATTTAGATATTTTAATAATTATTATTATTATTTCAATTAAATTCAATTAATATATATATTTCATATATTAACATTTAACAATAACAATAATTCATTTAAATAAATGCGAACACATATTTAAATATAATTTCACTTATTTAATTTTATTAAGAAATTAAATAAAGCAAATTTAATTTCACTATGAAATTACCAAAATATCATTTCGCCTAAAAAGACAAAAATGTCCTTCTTATAAACTGGCTCTTAAATTATCTTCTATGTGTGTGACCCGTAGGCTCCTCATCATACCGGTAGTGTGTAGTATCGCGATTAACACCAATTAATCGTCTCACTACACACAGACGAAGATTGGCCCCTAGCAAGGCATCATGACCACCTAATAAATTCAGATTTAGCGAAGCAGCTACTTGTCAACGATATGGTTACCATACAATCCTATCCTTTCATCATCCGTTATCTCAACGAGACTAAGGCATAGAAATAGTGTCAACCTCAGTTACTCTCGATATGTATGTATTCAGTTACTGTCCAATGACTGGAATTATAAACTGGATAGAGCAACAACTCAATCCCATTGTGGCCACAGTTTTAGAGGCATTGCCATTTATTGAATTGCATCATGAGATAACTTCCCCCCGTACCCGGGAGTGATGAATCCTTCGTCGATCCACCATAGTGTTGATACACTCCTTGATGCAGCCAATCACTACCATATTGACAGCTCTAAATAGAACTGCGTTGGGCTAGTGTCAAACTACACCAATCGATGCAAAAGGCGCTCCGGTGATCTTAAGTCTAAAGATCACATGCACCACCATTCGTTAGAGGATTTGTTCCATAGACACTAGGGTTACCATCCATATGGAATCTTTTGGTGGGTCAATCCAGTGAACTTGCCTACAGTAAACACCCATGTGTTGCACCAGGTTGTCACCAAACAACCTTGACAAGTGAGATCAGTCACTGCCTTTTGACAGGGTCGTTCAACACTATGAACTTTATTAATGATTTACGCGATATAGAATAAAATGTCTTTTATTGATCAATGAACTTTATTGCAAAGAATCAATTCTACAATAATTGATTGGCTCTAGGGCACCTACTCTAACAATCTCCCACTTGCACTATAGCCAATCATTCATGCACTCAAAATTGAATGACCTAAGTGCCCATCATGCTTCTGCTGCAACAGAAACTTCAATAGTGGGTTAGTAGGTATTCTGCAAATCTGCACATTCCCTTTCTGATCGATCTCTTAGATCATATTGAATCAACTAAGTATGTGTTTGGATTACTGGTGAGACTGTGATTCATCAACCACAATGGCTCCATTGTTATCGCAGTAGAACTATATTGGATCAGTAATGCTTGGAACCACATCAAGTTCAGTAATGAACTTCTTAGTCCAACCCGCCTACACGGATGCATTAAATAATGCGATATACTTAGCATCAATTGTTGAATTCCCTGTAGTACACCGATTTGAGCTCTTACAGCTCACTGCAACTATATTGAGACAAAATATTCAATCTCTTATTGTGATCGATAATCATCTTTGTCTGTTTGGAAACTAGTATCATTGTATCCTCTTACAGTGAGCTCATCTTCCCCTCCATAAACTAAGAACATATTCTTAGTCCTCTACCAGTACTTAAGAATATTCTTGACAGCCATGCAGTGACGCTCACCTGGATCCGATTGATGTCTACTACAAGCGCTCAAAGCACATGAGACATCAATCCGAGTACATAGCATGGCATACATGATGGATACAATTGCTGATGCATATAGGATCCTCTTCATCCTATCTCTCTCATCTTGTGTTCTCGAACACATTTCCTTAAAGAGATAAACAACATGTGACATCGAAAGAAATCCCTTCTTGGATTCTTCCATACTGAATCTTTTCAGTACTTTGTCAATATATGCGCTCTGACTTAGGCCAAGCAACCTACGCGATCTATCACGATAGATATTTATTCCAAGGATGTAGGCTGTTTCCCCTAAGTCTTTCATGGAGAAGCACTTGGATAACCAAGTCTTTACCGACTGCAAGTTTGGTATATCATTCCCGATCAGAAGTATGTCATCGACATACAACACTAGGAATGCCACTACGCTCCCACTCATTTTCTTGTAAACACAAGGCTTATCTTCGTTCTTGATAAAACCAAATTCTTTTACGACCTCATCAAAACGAATGTTCCAGCTCCTAAAAGCTTGCTTGAGTCCATATATGGATCTCTACAACTTGCATAACCTATCAGCTTTCCCATCAAGAATGAAACCATCGAGTTGTGTCATATACACATCCTCTTCAAGGTTTCCGTTTAGAAAAGCTATTTTGACATCCATTTGTCAAATCTCATAGTCATGGTATGCAACAATCGCAAGCATAATCCGGATGGATTTAATCATGGCAACCGACAAAAAGGTTTCTTCATAGTCAATTCCATGAATTTGTTTGAAACCTTTGGCAACCAATCATGCCTTATAAGTATACACCTTGCCATCCACGTTAGTCTTCTTCTTGAAGACTCATTTACACCCTATGGGTTTTACCCCTTCAGGTGGTTCCACCAAAGACCATACTTGGTTCTGGTACATGGAGTCCATCTCAGATTTTATGGCTTCAAGCCATTTAATAATGGAATCTATATACGATATAGCGTCTTCGTAGGTTCTGAGTTCATCGTCTTGGTAGACTAGTATGTCACCATGTTGAGTCACGAGATAACCATATATCTCGGGCTCATGGCATACTCTCCCAGATCTACGTAGCTCCTATGCTACTTGAGGGGGTTCACTTTGATCCACAAATTGTTGAGTAACCTCCTCTTGATGTTCAACCACTTCCTGTGGCACATCATCCCGTCCTTCGTCTAGTATTATTTGTGGTTATAGAACTTTATCGAGTTCTCTTTTTCTCCTGCTAGTACTTTTTAAAAAAATTCATTTTCTAGGAATACACCAGAATGAGCAACAAAGATTTTGTGCTCTTCTGGGTAGTAGAAATAGTATCCTTTGGTCTCCTCAGGATACCCCACGAATATACAGGATTTCGAGCCCATCTTGTTCAAAATCAATTTCTTGACATAAGCTTTGCAAACCCAAATCCTTAGATAAGACAAGTTGGGCTTTCGCCCACTCTATTGATCATATGGAGTCTTATCTATAGACCTTGACAGCACACGGTTTGGTACATGAGTCGCAGTCTCTAGGGCACAACCCTAGAATTATGTGGGAAAATGATAGAAACTCATCAAGGATCTAACCATATCAAGTCAGGCCCTAATCTCCTCTTTTAGATATACCATTATTCTGGGGTGTACATGGAGATGCGAGTTTTTAATACAATCCCACATTCCTTCAGGTTCAGCTTAACTTACCACAGTTTGCATAGTTGTTATTTTTGAGATTATCCTTATTGTCTATCTTAAGAACATATTATTATGAAATAGTTCCATAAAAAATATTATTTACGTTCAAGGACAATAATCCATTAGTAAAGTAATACTCTTATTTGTCCTAAGTGGACACAGAAATATAATTTCTAGAAACTGAAGAAAAATCATAATAATCCACGAGTTCTAAGAAACAAGCCCATCGGCAAAATCAGACGATAAGATCCTATAGCAAATGCAACACGACTTGCTTCATTTTTCAACTGGTAGGTCCACCTCTCCCTCGGCTAGCAATCTACTCTACCGTAGTCCCTACACATCAATCAAATGTGAGAACCACATCTTGTGTTAATAACCTAAGATGTTAACGGGATAAGTTGATCTCAAAAACGTACCTAATGAAGAAGTAACATTCTTTTTCCCTCTTGGTAGGAAGGCCTTGCAATATTTCCTCCAGTGGCTAGGATTCCCATAGTGAGGACAAACGCCTTTCCTTTCTACAATAGTTCTTTCCAATGACTTATGAGCCCTTGCCTTCTCACTTGAGTTGGCTTCAATCAACGTCAACGTTTCTGACATTTTCATGCCTAACTCAGTAGCCTTCAACATATCCAGAAGCTCATAAAGGGTGTTCTTCTTATCATCCTCAATGAAGTCATAGACAAATTGAGAATAAGAAGCTGGCAAAGACTGTAATATAAGGTCTATCGCTAAACCCTCATTAAGTCCACATCCCAAAATCTCAAGCCTGTTCATATACTCGGTTAGTTTGAGTATATGATCACCAATTTTGGTACCCTCTTCCATCTTGCATCTGAATAAAGACCGAGACACCATATGCTTCTCATTCCTTTGAAGAAAATGAAGAATAGAAGCTAA